ATATATTATTTTTTCGGTCCCTCTCTTTTTCTCTCCTCTTCCTCCATTACCTCCATTCTCCATTATTTCAATCAAAATAAGTTAAATGTACCAATGCCTGGACCCGTACCTATGTCTGGACATTTTATCATTTTAGTGTTTAAATAAGTTATAACGCGAATTAAAATCAAAGAATCAAAGATAAAAATATTTTTCTTTATATTATATTTTTAGTTTTGATTTTAATTCGCGTTATATTTATTTTGTATAAAAACTAAAATAAATAAAGGTCTTAAAGTATCCCAGCATTGATACATATTTACCTTGTATGTATGTATATTTTCTGATATTATTAGAATTTATATATTATATGTGTATTCTAAGAATTGAGACCGAATATTTTCTTTTCAAATAGCTGTTAAGAGGAAATTACATATATATTTATATTTTTGACTGTTTGTAAATCTAGCATGCTTATACAATATGTTATATATGTAAAAGAATAAGAATTTTTTTTTAAGATAATTTTTAAATCGCTGTAAGTGGTTGCTTCTATTTTAAGAATCACATGAAACTATACGAAAAAATACTGTTTTGCTTTAAACGTGGTTTCCAAAATAAGGACAAAGTATCATTCTATACGTATAAATGTCTAATCGAAATGTCTTTTACATTTAACCCTTTAACGCGCTTGTCAATAATAACTAACATATGTACGAATCCATTTTTTGATAAATATTATTGCAGTGTGAGTACAACCCATAAATACTTAAACTTATTATTCCTTACGGAAGTAGCCAATATAGGCTGCGTGGCCGCGCCGGTGCGGCGCGGCGTGGCGGCTCGCAGTTTTACGTTTCACTGGTCGCGCGAAGGTAAATACATTTTTTTCTAGTCTTTCTTAATATATATAGAAACAAAACTGCAATATCACAAATTTTCCTATAAATGAAACTTTTTCACTAAAAAAGGTTTCATGTCCATTAGTGGAAAAATAAAAAAGTTGAGTTTTATAACTCGTATTTTTTTATGCAAAAAAATTTATTTTTATACCAGTAAATAGTTTTTAAAATTTTATACATTTCGTCATTTACGAAGTTTTGATCACCTCTACAAACCCACCAAGTTTTATTAAAATCGGAGAGTGATACGTATCTGGGAGCCTTTTCTTGTCAGTGAAAACTGAATAGCTATTTTTAACAGTTTTCAAATTATCTTAAAAAATGGTTTAGGGTATTCCACAAACTCGCACTTTATCTCTTCTTTAAATAACATACATCCAACAAACACAGTAAAAGTAACATGTAAATAATAAAAACAGAGGTACATACAATTTAAATATATAATATAAATAAACATGAATCAGAAAGTCGATTTTGTGTATCTTCAAACGAGGTAAAAATTACAAAAATGAGAAAATTTACTAGAGTATCTACGATTTCATTTGTCAATGTTCTCTTGTAATTTTCGATTCACGGTAATTATGAAAGAGAGGGGCTCCCTCACCAATTTGGCTAAAACTTTACAGTTTTGTGTATATATTTTGGTGCGTAAAACATGAATCTACAGATAGATCTATAAACTTATATATAAGTTAAAATTATCGCTCTCAATTAGGAAAAAAGTATATAAAGTACCAAAGTTGACAGTTGCGTGATGGTTAGGACAGTTCTGTCATTTACTTATTATATACTTTGTATTTATAGACTTTTTAATATGCCAATTATTTTCTGCTTTAAAAAAAGCATAATAATTAATTCTATTTCTATTATCTTTTTTAACCATTTAATTCGATAATCGATATATTATGACATATTCGGTACAACAAAACTGCATATTTTCCAAAGAAAATAATAATTTGTTTTTTGTTAAAAAAAAAAAGATAATAGAAATAGAGTTATTATGCTTTTTTAAAAGCAGAAAATAATTGGCATATTTGAAAAGTACGTCTATAAATACAAAGTATATAATAAATGACACACATCCTATATAACCACGCGCAACTGTCAACTTTAGTATTTAATAACTTTTTTCCTAATGGAGAGCCACAATTTTTAACTTATAGATTCATGTTTATTTACGCACTAAAATACACAAAATTGTGAAGTTTCAGCTAAAAATGATCGGTGAGGAAAAGCCCCTCTCCTTATTCATAATTACCCTAATATCGTTGTTTTTGTGGTAAAAAATACAAATAGAATACAGTTAATACGGAGCGCGTATATACTTGGCGCTTTTTTTACCTTCTCTTGATGATAATAATAATGTAAGTTTTGCACTCCGGTCCATTGCCCCGAAAAAAATCTTCTCGTATTAGGTTATCTACGATTATCTTACGGTTATCTAATTTTCTATTGACGCGTTTCGTCCACGTGGTTGAACCGAGGACCGATAAACCCGGGTTGATCCAACTATTTAGCAACCGTTAGTGAAAGTATCGTACATTTAGGATATTGGCCAAAAGTGTGTAACAAAGTTGGCACAGAATTTGGTAAAGACTCGCCTCGGGAGATATGTAGGCTACAATGAGGTTAGCTTAACCGCTTCCCGAAACATTCCTCGATCGCTGGATTTGATGTCACGGGACGCCGTTCTCGTGTCACGCGAATTTATGAGGATTTTTAATCGTTACTTTATACTCTTTAATAGGTTAGTGCATTATGCAATTTTATAATTATGCTTTATTAATTATATTTATGCAACGTTATTAGTTATACTTATTAGTTATGCTTATGTAACGTTTATAATGTATCCTAAGAAAGAATATGCTAATTTCGTTGTTTTTTCCGATTAAAATTATTATGATGCGTTTCAACTTTGTTGGGAATTTAAAGCAAGGACCTCTTGTAGGAATTGTCAATCAAGTGGCAATGTTGACATCCAGAAGGCTGCTCAAAGCCGCCGCTATTGGGACGATAGGGTTGGGTACTCTGGCTTCTCTCAGGGTAAACGAGTATGACGTCGGTGCCATTGGCATTGTAAGGCTAGGCCGTGCTGCGCTCACGGTATTCGAAATAGGCCGTCATTACAAAAGGGAATTGTATGACACCAAGTTGGACAAGTCGTCGATGGAGTATTTGGAGGTGAAATCGAACGTTCACAAGTATGGGGCGCAGAAACTATTGGAGCTCTGCTGCGCCAACAAGGGGGTGTACATCAAGGTGGGACAGCATGTAGGTGCATTGGACTACCTGCTCCCTCAGGAGTATGTACACACCATGCGGGTGTTGCATAGTTCCGCGCCTCAGTCCTCGTTCAAGGATGTTCTGACTGTGATCAAGGAGGACTTTAAGAAAGATCCGTATGAGATATTTCAGAGCATCGATCCGGAACCCCTGGGCACTGCCAGCCTCGCACAGGTGCACAGAGCTGTGCTGAGAAACGGCGATGTAGTGGCTGTGAAGGTGCAGCATCGCGCTGTCAAAAGCAACTCTTACGTCGACATCAAAACCATGTCGGCTTTGGTGAGCATCACGTCATTGGTGTTTCCGGATTTTAAGTTTGACTGGTTAGTTAGTGAGACGAAAAGAAACGTCCCACAGGAGTTGGATTTTGCCCTTGAAGGCAGGAACGCCGAAAAAGTACAGAGGATTTTCAGCAACTACCAATGGCTGAAAGTACCAAAGATACACTGGGACGCGTCGTCGTCTCGCGTACTCACGATGGAGTTCCTGGACGGCGGACAGGTGAACGATCTGGAGTACATGCGCGCCCATCAGCTGAATCCGTACGAGGTCAGCAGCAAGCTTGGTCGACTGTACAGCCAAATGATCTTCATCGAGGGTTTTGTTCACTCGGATCCGCATCCTGGTAACATCCTGGTGCGCAATCGCGACTCCCGGGCGGAGATTATCTTACTGGATCACGGTCTCTACGCTAATCTGTCCGATCAGTTTCGCTGGGACTACTCAAAACTGTGGCTGGCGATCCTCGACGGCGATCGGGTGGCTATGAAGGAATACTGCACGCGTCTCGGTGTCGCTGATTACTACGGTCTTCTTTCATGCATGGTGTCGGGCAGAACATGGGACACCATCATGTCGGGCGTACGTAAAACTCCTTATAATATCCACGAGAAGGATATGTTTCAGCAGAACATCCCGAACTTGCTGCCGCAAATCAGCACCGTGTTGGATCGCGTCAACCGGCAGATGCTGCTGATCCTCAAGACCAACGATCTGATGCGCGGTATCGAGTACTCGCTGCGCACTCAGTTCAGAATGTCGGCCATGATGGAGATGTCCAAGTGTTGCGTGCGTTCCGTATACAGCGAGAAGCTCAGGCAATGCTCAAATGTGTGGGAAAAATGCTGGATCTCGTTGGCGGAGCGCTGGGCGCTTCTCAAGTTGTCGTTCTATTATGTGTACCTAGGCTTGATACACTTCGACCTGAACAACTCGGTCAATTCTCTATGGACGAAAGATTTTTACCCGTTTTAATGAAGGCTTTAGTTTAGACTAAATGCGTTTTTAATACGATTAGATATGAATTGTTGCTCTTTGGAAAGTCTATTTTTTAAACCAGAAAGTTCTTTTTCCCAAAAAAGTCCTACAGAAATCTTTTTTACTAATACTATAGATAAGCATAATTCGTTACTCTGTATATACTAACTTATAAAATATGTACATTTTATTCATTCTTTTTATACGTCTACCTCTTAATTAGTCAACACCATTGGAGAAGATTAAATTATTTGCATTCAAACTTATATTTTTTTAAATAACCTTTGTCGAAAGATTCTCGCGTTTTTTATTTTATATTTATATTTATATCTGTATATGTACAATAATTACAATAGAGACAAAAGTTTAGATATTCTAGTTACAAATTAGTTTGTTCTGAGTACTTTGCTCTCTTTAGCTAATCGAAGCTGCTCCTGATACTCCGCGATTGCTGCTTCCCTATCTTTCAGGAATTGCGCGTACTCTACCGGGTCTATATCGCGCACGATCTCGATGCCGCATGTGCGAGCAGCGCCGATTATCAATTCACACATCCGCTCTAGAGTCAGCAACGCATTGGGTGGATCCTCTATCTTGATCTTGGCGATCTCGTATAAATGTTTCAGAGTTATTTTGCCAGCTACTTCACCTACGAAAGAAAATACTCATGAATTTGTTTTCATAATTTTTTTGTATGTTAAATTAGTTTTGTTGAAGTATCAAGAAACTATGACAATTAGTTCACAACTCGAGGGCAAAACGATAAATTAAGAACCAAGAAGAAATTAAGAATCAAATTAAAGGGAAGGATCTGGATAGCCAAATCTGTCGAGAACAGATTTCAAAAGTATCTGCTGTGAATTCTGTTGATAGAATGCCAGCAGAAATATAACAAAATTTGCTAACACAATATAATCGCAGATTTATTGTAGAAACTGAGCAGAATCTGTCATTTCATAATCATTCAAATGGTTTATTTCACTTAAATGTTTACGAAATGACAGATTCTGTTCGGTTTCTGCCAACAATCTGCTATCAGACTATATCGATAGGCTCTGTCAGCAAAACATGAGTTTAATGCAGATGATACCAAATCTGTTGCGATATCTGAGCAAATATGCTGTCATACTGCAGGCAGTTTGCTTACTAGGAATTTGTATGCATACCTTTCTTTATCCTCCCTTTCTGTATCCCAGCGGCCTGTTTCAAGTAGTACGTCGTTGGCGGCTTGTGGATCACCAGATCGTACGTTCTGTCTGAATGCACCTTCACGCGACACGGTAAAGGAATGCCCTCCTTGATGTTGGCTGTTCTCTTATTGAAGTCTTTACAAAAGTTCTCAATGTTGATATTCCTCTGAAATCAAAGTCACTCATGTTAAACGTCGCGTGTTGAAGACCGGAACAGATCTCGCAAACTTCGCATGATTAACGGTAAAGAAGATTAAAGTTGGAATCTGGGAAGTGTGATAAACTCCTGCAAACAAGCCAAGAAATCGAACATTCTACTGATATTCAGCGGTATTATAAACTAATGTACAGCGGTTATAAAAACATATACAGCAATGTTATAAATTGATATATAGTAGTATTATAAATTAATATTCAGTGGTATTATAAAATAGTATACAGTAGTATTCGCGATCCTAACCTGTCCGAGCTGGGATCCAAGCGGCGGCGCGGACGATGCCATCCCTGCGGGAATATCCACACGCAGCTTCGACGAGTGATCGATCTTCTCGATCAGTTTCCTGCCCATTTTCATTCTTCCCATTGTCTTCGACATCTTTATAACTGTTGTGGCTGTCCGAACACCCTAAACTAAAAAACTGTCCAAACCGAAAATCTAACCTAACCTAACCTGATCGAGGCGCACGCACAACGCACAACCGAGAACCGAGAACGAGAAGGTAAACAGCAGAGTCGCAGAGTTTCTTTAGTTGTTGTCAGTTTTGCGAGGCGCGACAAACATCGGTCGTTACGAGACGCGCGAGGGAAGCATCGCTTTTCGCTTTTTACAACGAAGATCCACTATTGGCTTTCAGAGCGAGAAGTACGGCGGCAGACGTGCAGTGTGCAGTTCGCGTTGTTTTTTTTTCTTTTTTCGATCAAGTCTACACGGGAAATACGGGAATGGCTGGCTGCTGCGTCCCTGGTTGCAGCAACTCGACGACCAAGGGATTTTCATTGAGAAGCTTCCCTACGAATCGCGAGCGCAGAGAACGATGGATCGCCAATATTGGTATACCGAACTGGGAACCCAGTGTCAACAGTCGCGTATGCGAGGTATGATTTTCTTGGATCTTGTATCTTGTGTCGGTTGTAGAATGATCAATAAGAAATTTATCCGTTTTCGAACAGGCGCATTTTGCCAAGAACATGTGGGAGAAGGACCGTTGTGACGGCAAGCGCAAACTGAAATTGAACGCTGTGCCCACGATTTTTGCGTCTCATTCTGTGCCGGACGACTTTCCTGCTTTATTGGAAAACTTTAACAAAGACAACAATGTCGTAAACATGCTCATCGCGAGTCTGACGGACGAAGGAAAAGTTAAGATAAATTTTCAGTATCAGTTGCATTCTGACAATATTGAACAACTGAAGAATGAACCATCAAAGGATTCTTCAAGCATGCTTGCATCTGTGAACATGAAAGAAGAGACGGATTGGAAGAAACGATGTGAGGAATTGACGCATCTATTGACAAAGAGCGAAAGTGAATGCAAGAAACTTCAGGACGCTATGAAAAGGCGCGAGGAATTGTTTAACAGGATAATAAAAAAGAGTTACAGATGCGGACAGATTTTAAAGAAACGCTTGAGGAAACTGAGAGAAGAAAGGCAAACTTACGACAAGTTAAAGATTAGATTGAGAGAGATTTTCAATGAGGATCAGATTAAGGCTCTCATCAATCAGGGAGTGAGCCGAGAATGGTCTGATGAGACGATTAAGCGGGCTATTCGGCTGAGGCTTACGTGTGGTAGCGTCGGGTACCAACAGATTTTAGAACAAAATATTCCTTTGCCTTCGGAACGAACCCTTCGAAGAAAAATGAACAATGTTGAGTTACACGAAGACGTGTAAAATAAAACTTCGAAGACTTAAGCATATAGGTTTTTTTATTTTTATTGCATTGTAACGAGTATCTTGCATATTGCGGTATATAGTTTTAAACGCACGACAAATGAATTGATTTTCATGCAAAAAAAAAGAAATTTTGACATATGTACAATTTCTTATTTTGCATCTTCAATAGTTTCGATGGGATTCGTAAAGTTGTCTCTGTTAGAAGTATAACGTTATAAATATTTGAATGATTTAGAATAGTAATCTTTTTAGAATAAGCTGTTTTTTTACATTTTTTTTTTTTTTTTTTTAATTAAAAAAGTGTTATTGTGTTATTGAACGTCGCGGTCAATTCCGCCATGTTTGTTCCAATTCAAAGTGGACCAATAGAATCGGAAGTCTCGACAAGACTTCCATCTCTATATACGGTTAACTATTCAATGGACAAACCATAAGCAAACATGGCAACGAGTATCCGAAAAATTCGGAGTTTTGTCATTTGTGCTATGTTTGGTTAGCTCTTCGATTATTATTTGTTTGACATTGCTGCGATATTTTCTTGTGTAAGACAGTAGAGCTACTTCAAAATGGGGAAACGCCAGCATCAGAAGGATAAGATGTGAGTTGCTTTATTGTCCACATAACCACTTTATCATATACTTCTGACTATAAAGGTATTTGGCTCTTATTTTCCAATTGTCTAACAAGCTTTTGATTTCTCAGGTACTTAACGTACACGGAGTGGTCGACGTTGTATGGCGGGAGGAAATCTGGAACAAATCTGGAAACGAGTGAGGAGAAGACGTTCAGGCGATTGCCGTACGATCATTGCTGCTTGTCTCTGCAGCCCTTCGAGCATCCCTACTGTGACCTGCATGGCAATGTGTATGAACTAGAAGCTATTTTGCAGTATATAAAGCAATACAGGCACAATCCGATAACGGGGAAACCACTGGACGCTAAAAGTCTAATCAAATTGAATTTTTACAAGAATCCGCAGGGTGAATACCAATGCCCTGTACTTTTTAAATTGTTCACGAAACATTCGCACATTGTCGCCATTAAAACCACGGGAAATGTATTCTCTCACGAGGCAAGTGTATAAAGTATAAATATTTATATTTTTTTAAATTAATTTATCTCACTTTAGAGGCTATTTTATTTTATAACTCTTTGTACAAAACATAACAAGAGAATTATTCTTTAATTATTCTTTCAGGCTGTTGAACAGTTGAATATAAAAACTGGGAATTGGAAAGATTTGATAAACGATCAACCATTCACACGCAAGGATATTATTACGATTCAGGACCCGAATAATGCAATGAAATTTAATCTGTCCACATTCCATCACATTAAAAATAACATAAGAGTGGAAGATGAAGGTAGGCTTTGTAATTCAAAAGGAATTAGTTCTACAGTTCTCTATTTTTGTAAGCTATATGTATATGAACGATATTTTTCAGAGACTGTGAGAGAAAGGAACAATCCAAATGCAAAATTAAAAACCGTATCGGCAGAGACTAAAGAGATCCTGGCGGAATTGGAGAGAGACTACAAGCCGTCGAAAAACGAAAAAGATGAGGCATCTATACAGAAGGCTGACAAATTTAACGCTGTTCGTATATTGTTTGCAAGAATTTTCCTCCGAATGTCAGAGAAGTACTTCCTTATTTAATTGTACTTGCATTATTTAGGCGCACTATTCCACCGGTGCGGTTGCTGCAGGATTTACTTCGACAATAATGCCGGCAGAGACTACCCATCAGGCGGCTGTAATCGCAGAAGATCTGGTACGTTACGAGAGGATCAAGAAGAAAGGTAATCGTGGTTGTGCCGATTGTCGCTCGAACTTGCGAAAGTAGAAATAATTCTAATTTATTCTTGTTTATCTTTTTTCACTTAGGATATGTGAGATTACTCACGAACTTCGGGGCTTTGAATCTTGAACTCCACTGTGACTTGGTTCCGAAAACTTGCGAGAACTTCACGAAGCACTGCCAGAACGGTTATTATGACGGCACGAAGTTCCACAGGTCGATACGGAATTTTATGGCAAGTACACTGAGCACGACGGCGAGCATTTAAAATTCAAATGCATTTCGAGAATTAAAGAACCTCACCCACTTTATTAAGAGGTTTTGGGCTATAAACGCACACACTTGACTTGTATATGCATGCATTTGTAGAGGAGGTTGATAAAAATAATAATAACATAGTCTCAAAGTCTCAAAAACGTGGGGAAAGACTTTCTTGGGCGTGAATTTCGTATATTACCATATGTTAGATTAGCAATTGGCATTAAAAATTTTGCACTGTTTAACTTAAATATAATATTACTAATCTTATATAAAATATATTTTATAATATCGTTCAGACTTCCTTTGCGCCTAGGGCACTTTCCCGTGGTGATGGCGTTAACGAACAAACTTACTGATTTGTTCGGTTAAGACTCAGGCCTGCGGCTGGTTTGCACTTTTCGGTTAAAAAATAAAAAAACTCAAACGCAAGAATTAAGCTGCCATTTGAGCATATTGAAGATATTTTTATATCATTTTCTGACAATTCTAATGCCTGTATCAGACTACGGATTGGGATTGAGATTGGATTGTTTGACCAATCAGAGCAAAGTTTACTAAACTTGAGATCAGTTTTCTCTGTTCTGATTAATTAAATTTCAATCCAATCTCAATCTCAATCCGTAATCTGATACGGGCTTAACGATGAAGATAATAATAATGAATAGGTATTAGGCTCCTGGTACTCCCCGCTTCTATCCTTGTTTAAGGAGGTTCGCTTATTAGTCGAAAGTCAATTTACCTTAGTCTTAATTTTTTTATATGATTTACATAAACACTTTACGCAAATAATCCCAAAAGTTAAGCAATATTGACCGATAGTTTTTTTGTAATATTCAGAAGTTGACCACTTTGAGCCTATCGCCTCATGAGAAACGGTCGCTCTGAGGTAAATGATCACTGATTTAGCACACACTTAGCCAACTTAGGACTTTGAAAAACTAGCATTTGACAGATGAAACATCAAGGATTGCAAATATGTCATTAGACTCGTGAAAATGTCAACAAATTAATAAACAGCTATACGAGTCAAACGCGGTACGTAGTGCGCAAGTAAAGAAATTAATAGTTACAGAAGTAACGAATTACAATGTATATAATATACATATACATATATTCTAACTTAATAAACTGCGCGCCGATTATTTGTCGGACTTGAAACACAGCTATCGAATATTCTTTACAGTTTTTTAAAATAATTAAATCGCGTTGATTTAATTTCGGGGAGGGAAGGGTATTAATGTTCCAACGATAGCTGTATTTCAAGTCCGTGCAAATAATCGGCGCGCAGTTTATTAAGTTGGAATATATGTATATGTATATTATATACATTGTAATTCGTTACTTCTGTAACTATTAATTTCTTTACTTGCGCACCACGTACCGCGCTTGACTCGTATGGCTGTTTATTAATTTATCAAGGATTGCATAAAAACTTAAAAAATAGGATTTTACCGTGTGGATTTAAAGCTTTATTGTCACGAAGTTACTTTTATCTCGTGGATCGAATTAGTAATGACAGATGTTGCCATTGCTAACGCAATAGCTGATGCGAACTCAACCTCACGAACAGTGTTTAACCACTAATCATGAATCCACGACACGCAATTATCAATGTATTAATCATTTTAAGTCTTTAATATTCTCTGACAATTATTCATATAGGTTTTTATAAATTGTTTGTGATTTTTCTTTTACTTTATAATGTTGGATAATAAGTACCCGAGTCGTTGACGCTCTCATACTTCGGCATATATTTGTTAATATTCTATACACTAATAATTTACGAAGAATATAGCACATAACTAGCATCAACAATTCATTATACTAATATTGCATATAATTCGGGATCGTTGTAATGACATTATTATTCAATCGCATTTTTGACTCCAAAGTAATAGGCGAACCTCCTTAATGACATCAGAAGCGAGAAATACTAAGAATTGACATGTTGAGAATTATTGCGTGTTATTTCCAAATAAAAAGATATTTGCATAAAATAACACTTCAGATCATTTCAGTACACTTCGAAAATACTCCGAGGTTTATCTCTTTCCTTTGAGGCTTTATATTACATTCATTTTACAGCTGTTTATTAACTGTTAAGGGAAAGGGACCTCGGAGTATTTTCAAAGTGTGCTGAAGTGATCTGAAGTGTTATTTCATGCAAATATCTTTTTATTTGGAAATGGCACGCAAGAATTCTCAACATGTCAATTCTTAACGTTTCTCGCTTCTGACGTCATTAAACAAGAATAGAAGCGGCGAGTACCCTGACGAAAATTAAGAAGCTTTATAAAGCGTTGACAACCGTTCAATGAGGGTTTTTTGAGAGTTTATACGCTTTCAAACTTTATAAGAACGCTTACACAACGTCGTTGGATTTTGAACGCTTCCAGAACGCTTATAAAACGCTATATATAACGTTTCATGAAAGTTCTGAAATGCTGAAGCAACGCTTTTCAGAGAACGCTCAGTATACGCTGCGTACAGTGAGTTTGCTGTCAGATTTTTCAAACGTTCAGCAAACGCTTTTCCCAACGTCGTAAGACAAGCGTTTTTAATCCGTTCAGCAAACGCTATTCCGATGGCGAATTGTATAGGCGCAGTGAACGATTTGTAAGGCGTTAACGCAAACGGCTTGGAGACGCCCAAGAAACGCTTTTCCCGACTCCGTAACACGCGTTTTCCTTCCATTCAGCAAACGTTCTTCTAACAATGCCGCTAGGCGGCGCATCTTTCTCGCATTTAAAATAGCCGCGTATATAAGCAGACCCCCTGCGAGGCGAAAAGCAGATTTTAACATTTAACGCTCTTTACGCCGTTTCTTCTAACGACAAGAGTAAAGCGGGGAGCACACACTTCTGCACAACGCATAATGCGTAAGCATAAGAAAATTGATTGGTCTATTTCCTTGCACATGTGTATGGACCAATCAATTTTCTTATGGTTACGCATTATGCGTTGTGCAGAAGTGTGTGTCCAGGCCCTAAAGGTCTATCCAGACAAACTTGCATAGGTGCATAACCATATGCATAAAGAAACGGATTGGTCTATTTCTTTATGCACATGCATATGGACCAATCAAATCTCTTATGCTTATGTTTATGCGCTATGCAAGTTTGTCTGGATTGACCTTAAACGCTCAATAGAGGCTGCACGCAGTTTCCAATGATGAAAGCAAACGCTTTCAACTTATTATAAACGCTTAACAGAGGACCTCTAAACTCTCAGCAAACATCATACGTCATGTAAACGCTGTGCAAACTCTCAAAAACGTTATATACAAACGCCTTTCAAACGCTGCAGCGTTGCAATTTCCGCTCTACGAACTCCCTACTGACCGTTTCTAAACTCTTAACGAACTTCCGCAAACGCTCACGTAAACATCAAACAAACGTTTATGAAACTTCTCATTTTCGCCAGGGTACCAGGAGCCTTAAGACTGGTAAGTTCGGGTCTACAATAGGTGTTTTAAGCCTTAAGTCTTAAGAAATTGATCAATCACATTCGAATTCGAGGAAAATAATCGACTGTGATTGGTCAATTTCTTAAGGCTTAGGGCTTAAAACACCTATTGTAGACCTGGACTAACTAAAATGGTCATAACTTTTTTCGCCCATACTAGAACCTAAACTTATTTTTCTAGTGACGTACACAACAATACCACAACAAAATAGCATATGATTCAATGTTGTGCACCAATGGCCCATTTTGGGCGAGGTTCTTTCGCACGTTCCTTTTTTTACTTTCTTGTTTTGACTTTTTTATTTCACGAAATGATCGAAATATTCCGTTTTCCTGCAGATCCAGGGCGGTGATCCGACCAACACGGGCAACGGCGGCAAATCTATTTGGGGCAAACCATTTGAGGACGAGTTCAAGCCGAATCTGGTTCATCAAGGCAGAGGCATTTTGTCTATGGCAAACTCAGGTCCAAACACCAACGGATCCCAATTGTAAGATTAAAGAGAAAACGAAGAACTGGCATTTTGCATAATTACGCCGTAACTTTTCTTATGAATTTCGTATTGTCGTTTTAGTTTTATTACGTTCCGATCGTGCAGACATCTCGATCGTAAGCACGCAGTCTTCGGGAAGATCGTCGGAGGCTTAGACACGTTGAACGTGATGGAAAGAGTGGAGGTAGACAATAAAGATCGACCGATAGAAGACATAGTTATCCAGGCGGTCCAGGTCTTCGTGGATCCTTTTCAGGAAGCCGACGATCAGCTCGCCGTGGAACGAGTCGCCGAAGCCGAACGATTAGCCCAAGAAGCGAGTCAGAGTAAATCGGCGGACAAAACGGATAAAAACGACACCCAGAAGATCTATCGCTCGGGCATAGGAAAATATGTGAAATTGGAGCAGGAAAAGTAAGATCTCTATCGCGCTTTCGCGAATCGAGATTTGTCAGCTTCGTCCGTTTATGCAACCTTTAATTCGATTTCCAGATTGGACAAATGGGGCGGAAACGCGGAGCCTGCAAAAAAGAAGAAGGTCCCGTCGCAGTCGTACGGAGATTTCTCCTCTTTCACCTTCTAATGGATTATTAAAATACTTAGAATAACAAATGTATATAGCACATTTACATAATCTAGTTTACTATATATATATATATATGTATCATTTTTCTGACAGTTTGCTGTATATACGTAAAGCCTCTGGCATTCCAAAGTCCTTATTGAGGAGTTAAAAGACAAAAATCGAATAGTATATAACTCATACAAAATGAGGAACATTGATTATTACATATAATGTAAATATGTGATTCCCCGATTGTCGAAAATATAATCCTTAAAAAAGCTTAAGATATACCAACGAGAAATTAAATAAAGAATTTTTATTAAATTAATAATCATTTCTTGTCGCAAATTTTAATTTAAAGTTAAATTTAGATTTAACCCTATTCACTCCAACCCCTTTTTCCGCTTTTTTAATTCTCGCATCATAACTCACGAACGAATTGACGAAATTTAATGTTCCAAAGCGCAAATTAAAGCTACTACTTTTAGCATTAATTTGCGCTTTGGAACATTAAATTTCGTCAATTCGTTCGTGAGTTATGATGCGAGGATTAGAAACTCGCGGGGACACGAAAGGTCTGGTTGGAGCGAATAGGGTTAATTTTGCACTAAATTTACAGCGCTTCATGAGATTACTCGATTTAGGGTAACTCGTGCTATTTTATATTTTCTGGATAAAAGTCTTTGCTCAGATACGCTCGGGGGCTCCGCGACGCCTAGGGCGGCTCCTGGTCCGGTCGAGGACCGGAGCCGGAGCCTCCATGTTTGACGTTCGCCGCGCGGGCGTGCGAGTACCGCGAGTCGGAGCGGACTGAGTTGTCCAGTGCGCGGTGACGTGAGGGCCGCGTTTTCTCGACAATCGGCACGACCTTTTCAGGCGGGCGGAGGCGGCCGCAATACTCTGGAATTTTGTGAGACGGCAGTCCCGTCTTCCTGGCTCGCATCATGGATGACCTGGGTGAGTAAAGTTCCCGGAAAGATCCGGCCAGACACCGAGTTAACCTCCCACTGGCGCGCCTAGCTCGCCTGTCACAAGGACGACGCGACGTGGGGATGCTGCAGCTCGTCGGTCCACGATCGCGTGGACACCCACGTCGCCGAGCGCTAGATAGGTACTCTTTCGTCGAGCGACGCTCGTTTCCATTCACACCTGTCAAAGACGTTTCTTGGAATCGAGGTTACGTTTTCTTCTGTTTGTTTTTTATCGAAGACCGTGATTGGCACTTTGAGACGTATATATTCGTTTACGTCCGCAGTGTATGTATACAGGAACGTTGGTTCTTATTATTAGCATTTAGCAATCGGAAGCGCGCACAGCACCATTACACTATCATTAAGAACGTTGACAGTTCGAGATGCGCTCCCGTTTCCATTCGCCAGGTAGGAGTGCTGGAATTTTGTTGGGGTATGAATATCGTCGTTTCCCTCTTCTCTGAGCGTTTATCGAAGATGTCATTGCTTTGAGACGCGTATCTTGACGCGAGATTGAAATACTATACTGTCGTTCAGCAACGAATATCGTTATATATATTTTACTGCATGATAATGCAGTAAATAAGCAGTAAATGCAGAATAATAAACGAGTTGCAAGGAATCGAATTTTATTGACAACTACAAATTGGCGCCAGTTTTTGATATCAGATCTTTCCCAGACAACATGCATGCATGTCTCAAATCTGGCCATATGACATCTTAAAAATGTCATTAAAACGTCTTCAAGACATCTCATGATATGACGTCTTTAAGATGGTTTAATAACGTCTTTAAGACGTGTTATGTTTCGATTTGAGACATTGTGTTCACACAGTTTATACGAAGCACGCGTATACTTAAAAAGCAAGAAATTATTTTAAATTATTATTTTATTAACAACAATTATCTTTCTCTACGTTTTTATTACTTCTTGTATATACTCTTCTGCTCTTTCTCATTTATAATATATAACTAATACCAGCTTTTTTATTTTTATTCTCAATCTTTCTGTTCCTAACAAAAATCGATTCCTTTACAGTTCTACACTTATGCATCACTTTAACAATTACACCATGAGAGCCCAGACAATTTGGTATTCTACATACTTGTTTTGCGAATTTTATAATCTGACCATATTTTATCGATTTTAATTTGTAAGTGACGGTTATTGTTATATCACAATGAAGATGATCTTATTACAGGGCGAAACATTTGTTCGCATTATTTATTAATACATTATTAGTGCGTACACCTTGGTTCGTTAACCCCCTTTTGCACATCCTTCGTTTTTAATTTTTTGAACCTTGAACTATTATTATTTTTATTATTTTATCATCGGAAATAAGGTAAATGTTTGAAAGTA